GTTGCGAGTACTTTGTCTTATGTAGTTGAAGAAAAGCTTTGGGTTTTCTCCTGAACAGTTTAAAAGGTTACCCTCGAAGTCTTGGCGGGCTTTGTAAACAAGGCACTTTACCCTATTCCGCTGAGCCTTATACCTATTTCTTGATTCAGTTGTCTTGTCCCTAAGATATGCTTTCCACAGCTTTTGCTTACGGTTTACTTCAATTGTTAGTGAACCTTTAAGCCATCGGGGCCTGCTGGTGATTTTCTTTTTCGACATAGGGCAGTATCTGGTGATACGTTCATTCAGTATGGCCTTAAGTTCTAGCCAGTCCTTGAGGACACACCCCGCAAATGCTGCTTTCCAGTCTCTACGACGCATGTCGAGACGCATTTGGTTGAAGTCACCACGCCATATGTTGCGCCTAATCACGATGCTTTGATCGGGTACAGAGAAAAGAGAATACTCCCACTGTAGGACTACATGGTCGCTTTTTCCGAGAGGGGGTAGACAGTTTACAACATCAACACTTTCCGGTGCCTTTGTCAATACAAGGTCTAGGCAGTGGTGGAAGGTGAACAAAAGATGGTAACCCAAAGACTGAGGAAAGCCTTTACACAGTTGGAGCAGCTTAGTCAGGCCGGGGGATAGTCTCAAGTCACCGAGTATGTCGATCCACACTAGTGAGCAGATAGGAATAACTCTTGAACAGAGGCAGGGGGTCTACAATGCCCAGGTGAACGTGGCTGAACCTTGCACCAGGGCCGGAAAAGGTGCTGATGGGGCACTTGTTCTGCCACTGGACCTTGCTCGTGTCCATGCTTTGAGGTCAACGTTCATCCCAGGCCAGAGAAAGCGGTCAGAAACCAGCTTGTCGGCAGCTCGGCTCCCAGGGCTATACAGATTGTACAGGGGGGGGGGAAATTTTGCGGCGACGGGGTGGTAGCACAAGCCGAAGATGAGATGGGTTGCATACGTCGCATGGAATATTACCGTTGCTTTTTGTCATTGGTAGCGCTTAAATTTGGAGTCCGGAAACATCGTCACTACCGTGTGAACCAACGCAACGTTGTTTAGAGGCCATTTCGGAGAGGCTGCTTCGGGTGAAAGCTGGAAGTGAGCGGTAGATGGCCTGGACAGTGCGTCAACTACCTCATTCAGTGACCTGTCGATATGGCGGATGTCTGAAGTAAACTGCAAAATGTAGTCCAGATGACGGATCTCCCAGGGGTTTGGTTTGTCAGAAAGGAAATGTAGAGTAAAGGTGAGTGGCTTATGATTTGTGAAAATTGTGAACTCTCGACTTTCCAGTCGATGCTGTGTGTGCCTAACGGCAAGACAAATGGCAGGAACTTAACGTCCGCATGTTCTGTCGCGGGTTTCAGCTTTGGATAATTTATTGAAAGTTAAAGCCAAAGGCACAAAAGACTGTGGCAGACGTTGTTGGAAAGTGTTGAAAATGTCATCGGCATTCAAACCGGCGACCGATACATCACGTGCATAAGCATAAACAAATGTAAGGCAACGCAAAACACGGCCAATGAAACGTTGGAAAGTCTGTAAGGCATATCGGAGACTAAATAGCATACGAAAAATTCAAATAAGCCAAAAGGGATTGGCAATTTCGTTTTGGAAATATCCTCAGCCGCAATCAGAATTTGATGAAAAATCCGGACTAAAGCGATCTTCGAGGAAACGGTTTTGCCAAAGAGAGTTCCGCCTACAAGATGCATAGCCAAATCCTCAATTAGAGACGGATGAACTTCCAGTCGCGCGTATCCACAAATACCGTCCACGATCTCTTCTTCGCCGCTGCCTTCAACAACTTCAACTTCATCGTCAACACGGAGAAGACGGTGGTTATGCATCAACCGCCAGCCAACGTTACCGACTATGCGCCTCACATCAGTGTGAGCGGCGCCCAACTTAAAGCCCCGGAAAACGTCACCTACCTCGTTAGCACCCTTTCTCGCAACACTGAAATCAACGATAAAGTAACCCGCCGGATCCCCAAAGCTAGCCATTCATTCGGTCCCCAACCGAGCACTGTTTCGAATCGTTATGCTCTCCAAAATTATCACTAAACTCAAAGCAGTCATCCTGCTGACCCTGTCGGTCATTTGCTAATTTATCGCGCAGAGACTGACAAACGGGTGCCCGGACACCCGTATATACTCCCCGCATATGCCTCTTCTCTCAATCTAGTCCCGCGCATTTACTCACCATATGGGCCTATTCGGTCACACTTGTATCCACGAATTAACCGCAGTCTCGACATATCCCTCTCACCCTGCGCAACTACCGCATGGGCCTACAGGGTCACACGCGAATTCACGAAGACCTGCACTAGACAACTGCAGGCCGCACCACACCATCACACTGTGCCCCATCAACACCCGTGCTTCACACCAATATCATCCTTTTCATCCCCCACTTGTCACCTTCCATGCAAGTGCGAAGCATGAGGCTCGGCTTTTACCCCTCGCGGATTCTCAGCTGCATACGTGAGCCGAGTCTAAGAATTTTACGATGCGCAAATCACCGTGGCATGGAAGGCTCCCTCTTAACGTGAGATGCGTGCTGCCCAACCACTGTTGTGTGAAATATTGGTGCTCGTGTTTGGGGGACAACGTCGAGTATGTGCCGCGCAGTCACGGTCAGCAAATAAGTCACCCACTGTACCTATTTCCCTCACCTGTCAACTGAACGGCTCGGATATTGGCTGGGGTCTGGGAATGGGAATAAAGAGTGAAGTCGACGACTCAGCGCATTTTCCTTATCACAAACAATCTGACGCGCTTGACGCTACTACAGAGCACTAAAAGCCGCTGTTTGGAAGTTTGCTAACTGTTGGGATAACTAAGAACTAGCAATCGGCCCAATGTGTATTTGTAAGAAGAGACGAACGTGCCGGGACTCGAGTGATGGCGTCCTTTCTCCGCACTGCTGCTTTTTTGGCGATTCGCGGTAAGAACGGTCTTCTAGTTTCTCCGAAATACTTTGCCCGCAAATGCAACCGACCCGGTAAACGACTCTAGATGTTTCTTCCTGTGGCAGTGGGTCTTTTGTATTCACCACCTGACGCCCAATGGTTGCATCTGGTCTGAGTGCAAATCCATCCCTAAACGGCACGAGAAGGTGACTGACGGGCTCGAAGACGTTTTTGAGGTACGGGCTCGCTCGCCAGAATTTGGGGTCGGTACGATTTTGTCCCTGGTCTGGTGTGCGCATACGCCAGTTGGCGATGTTTTGCGGGTAGCCATATTCTTCTAACAGCTGTCGAACACACACCAGCTCCTCAACCATTATTTCAAGGGCACCGCATTTGAGAGCTTAAGGGTTTTCTGACTGACTGGTTCTTCTCTGGGTCCCTCGCGGATTTTGAATATCTGTGTTTCCTAGTATGTTCAGACGGTGTACTAATTGCTGGCTCACACATGCGCCTCGCAAGCGAATTGAGGTGTGATGGCACCTGCCTGCTCGCCTGCCCGTGCGTGAACGTCGGACGACATTCAGACTGTTCTTAGGAGAGACATTTACAGAGTTAGAAGCAGATCGAATTCTACGAAATTCTTGGAAGGAAGCGTTTATGTGGTCTTCCTGCCTAAACTATGACGCAAGGCAACCATCAAAGCATGGAATGTGCTAATAGGGGCTCCTATGAATGATGCCTACCAAAGAGATTAAGGCATTTGTCTGAAGTCGGAAAACAGAAATCTCACGAACATCGACGGTTTTCTTAATTAACTAAAGATTAACCGAAGGGAAACCGCGCAATGAAACATTCGTTGTTTGTTTTTGCAGCGACATTATCTTGGCCTCGACATCTTTAAGTCATTTTTCATGTTCAGGCCATCTAGAATACTCAGCACGAAGTCATTCGAGGATTAACTAACTCCGTACCTTTGACTACTGTCGATAGAAAAGTCTCTTACTGGAAGAGCTGACTTGCCATTGCGAACGAAAAATGAACCATCAGATATTACGCCAACGTACGGATGAGTATGCATTTAGGCGCACTCATTACTATCATTATTTCCTGAACATGTTCATGGCCGCAAACATCGGTCGTCAACTAGGAGCTCTGAGGTTGGCCTACTAACAGCGGCGCTGGAATTATTTAGGGCTCAGTGGGAATTTGGCAGTTCATATTTGCCATACTACCAATATCTCAACTAGAAGACATTAATTTATTAGCCGCGCAAATAAGACTTACAAGTGATCAGACTTCTGATGAAATATGAAGAGTGTTTTACACTGTGGTAGCGGAAAATGTTTCTATTTGCTTAAAGTTACTTAGCGAATTGACATATTGATTGGGGCAGATTTAACAACGACTCAGACATATGCAGGTCGTGAAGAAACTGATAACTTCGGATATTGAATTATCTTGGACTTTCGTTGTTTTAGATAGTTCATGAACATGTTGTTTCGCTTGAAATTTAAACTATGCTGGTAGACAACTCGAAATCGACTCATTTTGCTGGTGAATTGCACAGCATCACCACATCCTCTCCTTCTCCTCAAACTGTAGCCGGCGGCATGACTGAGTCACGAGGACCAGACGTTGGTTCTGAGCAGTGGCTGACAAAGCCAGTCTTGCGTAGAGTTGAAGAAGTTTCATAAAATGGATGGTTTCGACCCTATCTCAATGAGAGTGCTACAGAGGTTATATGCGGAAGAAGCCATTGAGCTTGACTGTCAATCTTCTTATGGGCCACCTCATTTACGCACATTGCTGACTTCAAATACCGGGTTAGCTACTTAGTTAGCAGACTTATAAGCCTCAACTTTTAGCATATCGTTATAATTTCGAAGAGCGTCAGCTGTATGACAGTGACGCATGCGCTGATATGTCGTTGTTAGGGGTTTCTCAGTTGTTAACTTACTCCGTTGGGACTTTCCCACGTAACAGTCAACTTTTCGGGCCTATCAACTGGTTGCTAGTTAGACTGGGGGCCGCGCGATTGACAGAAATATACAGCCTGTCTATGTGTGCTACACACGATCTGATCATTTTGTTTACTGTGACACATCTGAACATCGTCGGAAAGATATTTGGTCGCATCCTCCTCAACCGTATCGACAAATATCTGGAACGGAGACTCTTGTTCGGAAGCCAGTGCGTCTTCCACGATCATCGCGATAGCACCGATATGATCTTTAACGTCCGCCAGCAGCAAAGGAAGTGTCTTTAGATGCGGATCCACCTCTACTCTCCATTCATGGACCTGTCAAAAGCCTTCGACGCAGAAAAATTCGAAGTATTGTAAAAAATCGTGCAGAAGTTCGGCTGTCCTGAACGATTTACTCAAATGGTGCGTCAACCCCGTGATGGCATGATGGTGCGCGTCGCATACAATAAAGTCGTCCCAGAGGCATCCGGAGTGACCGACGGTGTGAGCCACGGCTGCGTCTTCACGCCTACCCACTTCACTCTCATATGCCCTGTCATGCTAATGGAAGCCTACCATCACGAACGACCCGGAATCCGCGTCGCTGGCAGGGCAGACGGCCAACTCCCCACTCAGAGGCTCATGAACTTTCAAATCGCCCACGAACTCCTCTTCGCCGCTGCCTACGACAACCTCGGCATTCTCATCAATATGGAGATGACGGTGGTTATGCAGTAGCCGGCACCTAAAGTTGCCTAAAATGCACTTAGCATCAGCATGAAGGGCGCCCAACCACAAGCCGTTGAAGACGTTAACGTACCTGGGAGCACCCTCCCTTGCAACACCGAAAGCATCGATAAAACGGCCCGCCGGATTCCAAAGCCAGTCAAGCATTCAGTCCCCTAGAGGGCACTGTCTAAAATCGCAACGGTTTCCATCTCAGCATCAAACTCGAGATATGCAAAGCGGTCATTCTGCTGGCGCTGTTATACGCATCGGAGATTTGTGCGGTGTCCAAGAAGTAGGCGCGGACTCTCAATCACTTCCATCTCAGCTGTCTTGGACGGATACGTAAATTGAAGTAGCAAGAACGGGATTCCGGACACGGATTTACTGGAAAGGGCGGGAATCTTCAGCTTATACTCTTTATTGAGATACTTGCGACTGCGCTGGAGCGGCCACCGCAAGCGGATGGGTGACGAGAGTCTGCCTTAACCATTCTTTCATGGAGGTGTCGCCACGAGTTCTCGTCGACTAGGAGGGCAGATCCGGCACCACAAGCGCACTCTGAAAACTTCCATGAAGCGTGTGCAGATCGGCTCGGCCAACTGGGATGAACTCACCCAAAACTGACTAACGTGAATTAAAGCGCAGCTATCTACGAAGCCAACCACGCCGCCAACATCAAAGGCCATGGCGAAGTCCGCAGATCACAGCTGCCCCCACCCTACAACGCCAACTATCGACCGCCCTCAACCTGCCCACTGTGTCAGCGGATGTTTCGAGCACCAGTCGGTCTTATTGAACATCCTCGGACTGCAGCACCCGGACGACACCGCCCGATGTCCTCGAGTCCACTTCTGCCTCAACCCCTACGCCAACAATCAACACCGATGGCATTGCCGAACCGCCACTCTCATCCGCCGCCGCCGCCGCCGCCGCCACCGCCACCGCCGCCACCACCACCACCACCACCACCACCACCACCACCAGCTCGACGTTTACTGCGGCGACTGCTGCGCTCACCGCCACTGCACACAATCCTGACACCAACAAAAATCAACCTCACCACCACCAGAACCGAAATTTCAATGAGCATTGTAGTCGAAGACAGTCGATTACTGTGCAATAACCACGTAATGCCCATTGTTCGAACTAGTAGTAGTATAAGTAGTATTAAACGTATGTATCAAACCTAATATACCATACTCCCATCAAGGGTATTAAGTAAAAGCCCAGACACGTGTTTCACCGATATTATGCCGCTGCGTGACACAGCTGCGGGGCTGCTATATAACCCTATAATAATTAGCTCGATATGCCGGCTTTCAAACGAACCTATTCCCAGCTGTATGCGAATACCTCACTCCATAAAAATGACTGCCTAACTAGCATGAGAATTTTCCATTGATTTTCGAGTCCCTTAAATTCGCAATCATATTTCGTTGACAACCTGCATAAAAATATTCATTCTTTCACTTACTTGATAGAAAATTACGTCTTCTTACAATTTAATACTCGAAGCATGGAATAATTCGGCTTTCGAAGAGCTTCTAATTATGAGATTTATCAATACCGTGAAATGTCCGCTCACAAAACATTATGTCTCTGCATTCGCTAGTGTGGCTTGTAACGTTTACAATATGGCTCATATCCACTGCTAAATTTTATGAACCCAATATTGTCTCCCCTTATTACCGTAGGGAAGTGTCAACTGAGCCTCACGGTCTTCACTTACGAACCTAAGCCTTCTATCGTTATTTGTCGTTATTAGAAACTGGATTTCTTGCAGTTCCTCCATCATCAGTGTATTGCATTTTTCCGCTAGTCCATGCTGGGCTGTGTGCAATCTCACTGTCTCTCTACCCCTCCCCCAGACACCTCGAACCACAAATTCAATCATTAACACCCTCAACGTTGACGCTCTGACTTCTGACCCCCTGCAGCATGAATGACCACTTATTCTACCGTCTACAGTCCCAGTGAATTACCACCCCCCTGGCCCGCCGACACAGGGAGCCGCAACAATTCGTCCCCACCCCAAATGCTAGCGCAGTCATGTGCCCACCCCTCTCACACATTGGTTGCCCATCTGTCAGCGTCCGTATTGTCGCGCCAACCAGTTTAGTCTGACCATTTACATTCTCCTCTGAGGAGGGTTGGTGTCACCAACTAGAAAATTCACGAATACAGCTAGATCTTTCCAGACGAGCTTTCACCCTTCACCATATCATCTCAGACTCGGCGTGGAGAGACAACTACCGCTTCGGACTCCTGGACTATTTATATGCTATCGACCACGCATCCCGCCACTACAGGTGTGCAGGAGGAGGGGGGAGGGGTGCTGGAGGCATTTTCCACCGGAGCTATTGGCGCAGGCAAGAACAACGTAGTTCTGAAATTGGTTTCACTGTCAGGCCTGACTCTCTACATCGACCAACGTTCAAGACAAGAACGGCAGCTCCCACTCGGCTAGCAGAAATTTGTCCAAATCGCTAACGTCTACGTGTCAACGGTATAAACTCATACGCAATGATGGACGGTTTGTTCTGTAAGCAGATAAAGAGATTGCTTTCTAAACTTCAGTATGCAGCTAAGTGCAATCTGCGTAACATGGGGGGGTGGGGTGGCCACCATTCAGTGAGCAGTATTTTAAAGTGTATTTGGTTGTTTATGGTGATGAATTAATTTGTGCTTCCGGGGTTGGGCGGTGAGGCTAAGTTAAGCCGACTACAGATGAGGCTTTCGTCTTAAGTGTTTCACGCGCAAACCTCTATATATCCATGCGCTCTGGAATGAAAACAACCATCCCAAACATATAGTTCGAAAGCTTTTAAGTATAGGTTGCCTCCATGGCCCATCTCCAGGCTTTCTTGTGCACAACCAAAACGTGAGTGACTTTAAACTCTTTTTGTAGACAAAGGCTAAATTGCTGGTCAGCCAAAACTTTCGACTCCCATTCCTCGTATATCTTCCCTCAGATTCCTACAGAGAGACCATCAACAATGCCGCAGTCCATACTAATTTGGATAATGTTTCCTATAAAACAAAGTTTATGGGTTCCGGTTGAAGTTAGGGTTTGAATTGCGGTTTAGGTTTACGGTTAGTGTTAAGGTTGGGGTTAGTGTCATGGTTAGGGCAGGGTTTCGATTAAGGTTAGGGTAATTGTTAAGGTTAGGGCTAGGGTGTGCGTTACGGTTACGGTAAGGGCTTTGGGTCAGCGTTAATGTTAGGCTCAGGATTAGGGCTAGATTGTGCGGCAGGCTAAGAACATGGCCAAAAGACCGCAAAAGCTCCCGATACTGACGGCAAGAAAGAAAAGGCTTTTTATCAGGTTCCCATTCCAAGGGGATGCACAAAGACGCCTTACCCAAGCTGTCTCACAGACCTTTCCAGTAGCTGACACCCGTGTACTGTTATCCACCAGTCCCATCCTATACGGAGAGGGCAAGACAAACTAACAGCTCAGACCACCTCCATTTACTCCTTCACCTGCTCCTCTGGGGCAGAATATATTGGTCGCACGAGCCGGCGGTTATCCAAAAGAATGAAACGACATCTCCCAGCATGGTTAGGAAAGGGACAAATAAAGAATATCAACAGCTCGATCCTCGCGCACATGGTAGACACAGACCACCGTGTAGACGCCAAGGAGGCCTTCAGAGTGATTTACAAGGTCCCATCAAGCTATCCAAAACTTCTTGAGCCGCGCTTATTGGCTACGGCAGAGGCGGCTGCAATCAGGCTACGCCGACCGGTCCTATGCGCACAGAAGAACTTCGTACAGGTCCCACAGCTACCATGGGTCAAAACCACCTTGGCGGGGACCCACCTCCTCACGGGCGCTGACTGGAATTGTGGTGTTTCACTCTCCCCCTCCCCTCCCCTCCCCAAAACCGAGCTACAGTTTAATTATCTACTTGCCCGTATCTTTTCATTAATTACTTCAATAGCCATATAAATGTACAGGCCTGAAGAGAATTTATCGAAAGCAGAAGTATGCTCGCCAAATTGCCTTTTGAATTTTACAATGGGAATTTTCGCAACTCTAAAACAGTCCAAAGATCCCCTGGTGTTGAAGGCACTCAATGGGTACCTACGGTTCAGCACCAAGCTTGTGGAGGCGAAATTACGAGCCAGTTTTATTGAGGAATGCCTAGAGGGAAACTAGTTACGGTTAGGGCTTTGGGTCAGGGTTAATGTTAGGCTCAGGATTAGAGTTTGATTTTGTGGCTGGTTTTGGTTTAGGTTTAGTGTTATGTTTAGGGTTAACGTTAGGTTTACAATTGCCTTAAGAGTTAGATTTATTTTCGAGGTTACGGTTAGGTAAAACTAACGCTAAGCCTAAACTGATCTCTAAACCTAACCTAAAGCCTGTCACGCAATCTAGCCCTAATCCTGAGCCTAACATTAACGCTGACCCAAAGCCCTTACCGTAACCGTAACGCACACCCTAGCCCTAACCTTAACAATTACCCTAACCTTAATCGAAACCCTGCCCTAACCATGACACTAACCCCAACCTTAACACTAACCGTAAACCTAAACCGCAATTCAAACCCTAACTTCAACCGGAACCCATAAACTTTGTTTTATAGGAAACATTATCCAAATTAGTATGGACTGCGGCATTGTTGATGGTCTCTCTGTAGGAATCTGAGGGAAGATATACGAGGAATGGGAGTCGAAAGTTTTGGCTGACCAGCAATTTAGCCTTTGTCTACAAAAAGAGTTTAAAGTCACTCACGTTTTGGTTGTGCACAAGAAAGCCTGGAGATGGGCCATGGAGGCAACCTATACTTAAAAGCTTTCGAACTATATGTTTGGGATGGTTGTTTTCATTCCAGAGCGCATGGATATATAGAGGTTTGCGCGTGAAACACTTAAGACGAAAGCCTCATCTGTAGTCGGCTTAACTTAGCCTCACCGCCCAACCCCGGAAGCACAAATTAATTCATCACCATAAACAACCAAATACACTTTAAAATACTGCTCACTGAATGGTGGCCACCCCACCCCCCCATGTTACGCAGATTGCACTTAGCTGCATACTGAAGTTTAGAAAGCAATCTCTTTATCTGCTTACAGAACAAACCGTCCATCATTGCGTATGAGTTTATACCGTTGACACGTAGACGTTAGCGATTTGGTCAAATGTCTGCCAGCAGAGTGGGAGCTGCCGTTCTTGTCTTGAACGTTGGTCGATGTAGAGAGTCAGGCCTGACAGTGAAACCAATTTCAGAACTACGTCGTTCTTGCCTGCGTCAATAGCTCTGGTGGAAAATGCCTCCAGCACCCCTCCCCCCTCCTCCTGTACACCTGTAGCGGCGGGATGCGTGGCAATGAGAATTTTCTTAAATCGAGTGTAAGGAAAATGAAATTAAGAAAACAGTCGTTTACTCTGGTCGATAGCATATAAATAGCCCAGGAGTCCGAAGCGGTAATGGTCTCTCCACGTCGAATGCTATCGTTGTTTTCTTCTTTCAGCGCAGGGTGTGGGCGTGAGCCTGTGCTATGTCCCGATGCGGCCAATAGGTGATGAGCAAAATATCACTTGGAGTCATGGTATCTTCATACAGAAACACCACACATATTTTACGAGAGTCGGATATAACAGACGTCATTTCGTGACAATCGAGGACATTGTTCATTGAACATCTGAGAGGACGACGTTCACAGTTTCCTTGAATATTATCTTTCGGTTATGTTCGGCGATGACGATGTCGAAGGTATCATTGGCACACGTGACTCAGAAATCATCAGATACTCAAGTTCGGCGAGATCGCAGTTTTGTTGACAATCACTTGACTTCCTTGAATCATGACTCTCCAGTCATCAGTTTTTACTTCAGCGCAATGACCTCTACCTTCCATAATCAGGGCGAAAATTCATTTGTGAAGAACAGTTAGTCATGCCGGAAGGCTAGATGAGAACAGTGTTTCCTCCAATCGACGTAGTCGAGCAATGGTCAAGGCTGGAGATGAAAATGCGTCAGCTAACATTTCCATTGGGGTGCATCGGGCTGCCATCACATCAAATGCACTATGGTTGAAGAAAATAGGAGCTGGCAGTTCCCTAAACTATGTGGTTGCATTCGAGCCTCTAATTCATTGGTCTGTTTGAAGGTGGGTT